TACAACTAAAAAAATAAATATTTAAAAAAGAAAAAACTAGAAATGTTCACTAGTTATAAACTACTTGTGGCATATTCAAACAACTGAATACTATACAATAATGAAAAAAAATGAACTGCTACCAGCAAAACAAAAATAGCTGCAATATGATATTTAAGAAGCAAGACAGGGGACTGACTGGGGTTGTGGCTCAGCAGTAGAGTGCTTGCCTAGCACATGCGAGGCCATGGGTTCGATCCTCAGCACCACATAAAAGTAAATAAACAATAAATGTATTGTGTACAAAAAAATAAATATTTTTTAAAAACCATAATAAGATAAAGGTTAAAAAAAAGAGTACAGGGCTGGGGGTGTGGCTCCATGGTAGAGCGCTCGCCTAGCACATGTGAGATGCTGCATTTGATCCTCAGCATCACATAAAAGTAAATAAATAAATGTATTTTTTTTTAAAAAAGAGTACATTCGACGTGGTTCCATCCAAAGGGCAATGACAAACTAATCCATGGTGTTTGGTGTTCCGTGTCCCAGAGTGGTGACTTGGGTTGGCAGGGGTGGGGGAAAGACTGCCTGGCACTGAAAATATTCTGTAGCTTTTGGGGGGGTGCTAATCTTACAGGTATGTCCATGTGCAGACTTCTATCAAGACACTGGAGATCTGTGTACCTTAGTGTATAAAATAAACTTCAGCTGATTCCAGTTATTTACAAGACGAGGCCAGCCTCCACACACTTTTATGCCTCTGTTCTGCTGTCTTATGTCCCTGGCATATGTACTCTTTTCTCCTGTGAAAATCTCTGTATAATGCAAGAATCATCCCAAGTACCATTTTTCCTGTGAAGCTCTGGGTACCTTTCCTTTCTTCCTCTCAGTTATTATTATTGTCGCTTTAAAATTAATTTTAGCATCTACCTCAGTTCCCACCTACCCAACTACCCACAATTAGACTGAAATTTTTAAGGTCAGATTTTTCAGGCCCTATTCTTATGTTGTAAGATCCCTGAACTTGGTGGTTCTTAACAGTTGATAGAGGAATAAACCATAGCAAATCTGTGTTGTTTAGGGGTCTCATATATTAGGCTCCTGAATCCTAACAAGGTCAAGAGAATCTAGCTTACACCTTCTCTGGAGTCTTTTTCTAGGATTGTTAGTGTTCGTATGAGGACCCCGTGTACCAATGCCAAGGAGCTTTGAAAGTAACATTTTCGTAACTTGGTATAAATAATTACATTCAGAAAACCTGATAGTCCTAATTGCACCACCAAGACCAAGATGCCAGATTCCTTTTCCTTAAGATATTACTAAGGACTACCTTTAGCCTAATTATCCCCCAAGGGCCCACTTGGAATCAGAAAACTTAGAAGCGGAAGGGACTTAGGTCAATTGCACCTCCTACCGACTGGCTGAAGAAAGTACATCTGCAAATTGACAAGGGAAACTGGTATCAGCTAGCAAGAGGGAGCTTTAAGCTCAATGACTTCAGAAGTCTGGGGAAGAGGGTCTGTTCCCTACCATCCCCAGTTTTGTCTTATGCCTCCCTGGGACCTGACCCCTGTGGAACTCCTGTCCCACAGCCCCAGGGTCCTTCCCCAAGTCCTACAGCTCAAGGAAAACAATCTCTCCCAAGGGATATTGGGATAGTTAATTTTTTTTTCTTTTAAGAGTTTATTTTTAAAGCAGTGTTAGGTTCGCAGCACAACTGAGAGGAAAGTACAGCGACACCCTGCACTTACTGCCCGTGCACAAGACCACAGCTTGGAATCTAGAGTCAAGGGTGCCTTCTTCTATAAGCTCCTTCAAAGACCACAGCCAATCTTCCATGTTAATTGTTCTGTTTCAACTAAGGCACGAACAGAACAAATTCAAAACTAGCTCAGATGAGATGCAGTTTGGTGTTCATGGCTCAACAAGAATTCTGGGTCCTACCTTTTCCAGCTGTTCAGACTTCTGAAATTCCTGCATTTGAATTATCTCCATGCAGGCTCTGCCCTGTGTACCCCCACCCGCAAGCCTCATCTTCCTATAGACTTTGACATACAAGTTCTGGACATACAAAAACCAGACCCACAGTAGTAGCTATGGTATCAACTCAGAAACTTTATTTCCGGTTTTCAGATCCTTCCACATAGCTGGCATCTGGAAAACTTAGTTTCTTGAGAGCTGGATTATGCATTTAAGAGAATTGCCGCAGTCTGTCTAGGCACAAAATAACCGTGCCACCACCAAAGCCTTGTAGATTCAAACAGCAACTCTTTATTCCCGAACTCTCACCGGCACTCTACATGCATGTTCTGGGAAAAATACACTCCCTCCACCCGGGCTCTGCATACCAATTCTCTCAGAACCCCGCAAGAACTCAACGGGAAATCAATGAGTGGGCGGCTGAGGCAGCAGGATACGCCCTATTCCCAGCAGGATCCACCCTAAACCTGGAGCCACCCTAATCCAGCAGGATCCACCCTAAACCTGGAGCCACCCTAATCCTTGAGCAGGGTCACCTTTCAACCAAAAATTCCTACTTGGCTATGGCTCTCAGCAGAGAATATTAATTTTATATTGTCCATCATTTCTAGGTGTCTACAGCGGAAGGGTTTTTATGTTAGGCAGTCCAAAAAATGCCAGAAAAGAAGCCCTAACCTTACACATTTAATTTATAACTTTTGACTAGTTGGTTGAGAGAAAGCAGAAAATGTCCTGAAATTGTTAGCTTTCAGATTCAGGAGTTCTATCATACTTTGAACAACAGGACAAATGGTAGGTGGTTACTATATATGAACTTCTGGTGAATAAATTCATATGTCAGTTATAATACATATTACAAAGACAGATGGTGTAGCTTAATATAGTAAGTCTTGGATATATACTCTTTATATTATATGTCTATAAATTCAAAATTGTTTCTACCAATGCAACTCAAAAATAAATACTCTGTAGGTAGCACACTCAGGCACATAACCCCATGAAGCTCTAGAATTGTTCGGACACTTTTGAGATTTGCTGTTTTAGTGATTTAACTTGTTTCCATATTATAATGCTTAATATCCCTAGTTAACATAGATGCCCATTATCATTATGCTTATCCTATAAAATATATATATCTCACTCTAAGGCCTCTCAGCCCTTCCTCTGTGTCCCTCCTGACTCAGCAGAGCCGCAGACCTGAGTTGCCTGGGTCCCTGCAGCTCCAGAGCTGCTCCACACCCACACAGCCCCTCCCCAGAGGGGCTGCTCTCGTGTCACCCTATCACCCGTGCAGTTTCTCCCTGGTGTGGATCCTGTGGTGGCGGAGGAGGTTGGCCTTCTGGGAGAAGCTCTTGCCGCACTCCGGGCACTGGTAGGGCTTCTTGCCCAGGTGCGTGCGCTTGTGGATGATGAGGCAGGAGTTCTGCGAGAAGGCCTTGCCGCAGTCGCTGCAACTGTAGGGCTTCTCCCCGGTGTGTGTCCTCAGATGCAGGATGAGGTGCGACTTCTGGAAGAAGGCCTTGCCACACTCGCCGCAGCCGTAGGGCTTCTCCCCGGTGTGGATGCGGTGGTGGATGATGAGGCAGGACTTGCGGGAGAAGGTCTTGCTGCACTCGCTGCAGCCGTAGGGCTTCTCCCCGGTGTGGGAGCGGTGGTGCTCCACCAGGCGGGACTTGTGCGAGAAGGTTTTCTCACAATCCGAGCATTTGTATGGCCTCTCCTCAGAATGCGCCATATGGGGCGCGAAGAGACCTCCTTTCCGGGACACCCTTGGGCCAAGACGACGGCGATCTCCTCTCGGTTTCTCTTTGGTGTGCTGTTCCCCCTTGCAAAAGACAGCCCTCTCCTTGAAACCACTCCCTGAGCCACTGTCCCTGTGGGATCTCTCCCCTCGGTGCACCCGGTGATGGACGATGAGCTGCGCCCTGCGGGAGAAGGCTTTCCCGCACCTGGTGCATTCATGGGGCTTCTCACCGTGGGTCCCCTGATCTGCACCCACGGCTGCGTCCTGGCTTAAGGCTTTTCGACACTGGGTGCAAGCCCACGGACTCTCCGCAGGGTGCGGAGTCTCCAGCTTGGAGTAGAGAAACAAGTTCCCTTGACCATCGCACTCAAACCTCCTCCGTGCAAGGTACGCACTGGGACTGAACTCCACGCTTTGCTGAAGTCTCTTTCCACATGAGTCACACGTGTGGGGCTGCTGTCTTGAGGGGACCAGGGGTGAGTTCGGGGAGTGTTTTTTTCCAAGTTCAATACATTCATGGAGCCCTTTGGTGATTAACTTTTTCCCATCTGGGACGGCAACTTGCCCCAAACGTCTGTTTTGGTGTTCCTGTCGTCTGTCTGCTTGGGCGTCAACTTGCCAAAGTTCTAGGAAAGGCAAAACAAAAAACTTCTCATCTTTTCAGGTATCATAGTTATTGCAGCAACGTCTGGGATCATTTGGGCATTTCGAGGTCTCAGGTCAAATTTTGTGGTTTTAAGCCTAGTTGCCTAGACTAAAAAAATAAATCTATAAACACTTTCTAGTCCCTTGGCTTTTGAAAAGAAAAAGCGAGATACTGTAAAATAGGTATGAAATGGCCACAATACTTTGCTCTGAATGAGTCTGACTTGGCAGATTGGCAAGAGGATGCAGACACAAGAGTGAGCAAGAGAGAAACACTGCAGGCTTGAGGTGCTGACTGACGGGTGCCACAGGGAAACAGGATCTGTAGTGTCCACCCATTTCCATGGTTAGAAACTGGCCTTGTGGGAGAGTGTTTCCAGCATGTCCTGAGGACATCACCAAATGAGGAGCTGAGATTTAGTCATGATGAGCTATGACAAGCCAATGCCCCCAGGCTTTAGCTTCCCCCAGGTGAGGGGGGCCCAAGGAGATAAGGGTACTAGGAAATATAAGGCAAGATGAAAGGCACACTAGGGTACCTGGGGAATGGAGAGAGGAGGTGTTTAAAGAAGGGCTTTAAGAATCTTCAGTGTCAGGTTCTTCATCCTGTGTTTAAACCCTTACAAGCTTGTTTTTTCTTTTACCTGTTTAAACCACAGACTCTACCTGCCGCTTCACCCCGGCACCAATGTGCACTGCAAAGATGTCACTCTTCTGTTCAGAGGTCGTGAAGTTTCAGAGCCCAGCTGCTGAATCCCTAAGAGGTAAAGATCATGGATTGCTGATGTCCCCATGAGAAGTTTCCAGCGGTGTTTTTAAAGCTTCCAAGAGGATTCCCATGTGGATTCCAGATTAATAACAACTTCTCTGAACAAATCTTTGACAAAATTCCTTTCCTAAAAGAATGAGGGATTCCACAACTATCCACCACCAGCTTCCTATAGAAATAAGGACAAATAAAGGCTCTTGTCCCCAAAGGATAAGACTGAGGTGTCCAGGAAAAGCTGCAATTACAATTTCTTAGGTAGAATGGGGCCATGTCACACAGTTTTGAAAGAAGAGGAATGTAAGCATCATCTCAAAAAGGGTACCAGAGTAACTAGGCACATTAACAAAGAGTGGCATTAACTTCTAAGGTCAACTCAAACCAGAAATGGAATCAGAAAAGCCAACTAGTAATTAGACAGTGCAAGCTTATGATGTTTGAGAATGGTGTGAGAAGAAATAGAAAAGGTGGAAGGAGATCACGTGGTGGGGGCAGGACTTAGAGGATCAAAAACAGAAAACCAGCAAACTAAGACTCAGAAACTCCTTGGTACCAAGTTATGAGCTAGAAGCAGAGTAGGAAAAGCCCCACTTCCCCCAAAGAAGTGTAAGGCATTAGAACAATAGCTCTGAATAGCCCTGTCACTTAATTTTCTATTGCAGAAACAGGTAATAAACATGAACATATGCCTCATACAGGTGAACACTGAGGGAGACGGTGGTGACAGAGTCATCAGTTTACCCTGAAGCACAGGAACGGCTTTCACCTGCTTGCAGGTATTAAGGACAGGGTGGGAACAAATACAGATGCAGCAAATAAGTTTTGAAGCATTTCACAGAAAGATTCACAGAAGCGTGGCACACGACAATAGCTATTTTAATACAGAGCCTACCTGAATCCCTAAACACATGAGAAAGTTTATTTTATAACCTCAGGGGAAAGCACAAGACTGAAGATTCCAGAGAAAGACTGAGCAAGCGAGTTTTCATGGCAGAATAAAAGGATGCACAAAAACAGAGGCGGTGTCTCTTTAAAATCTAGGGAAAGGAAAGGAGTCATGTAGTGGGGTGCAGGTAGCAGGGATCATTTGGGCATCTTGAGGTCTCAGGTCAAATGTCCACTGCTTGCAATGACCCAAGACTTGTAAGAACATTCACCTGGGAAAAGAAAACAAAGGCTCTGCTTTGTAACCGCCTGGAGCCCAACTCCCAGGGTCCCCCTGCAGGCTGTCTCCTCACCTGGAGATCTCCACCTGCGCATCTCCTCCTTCCCCGCCCATGGCTCTGTCCCCTGCTCCAGCCTGGAGATCACAGCTGGTTTGTTGACTTGACACCCTGCTTAAGAGACATAGTTACAGGATCTGTGCTGAGTTACGTGGAGCTACTCAGCAAGTAAACGGTTCGGGCCACCCACTAAACACTGACTTCTCAGCCAAAGAATAGACATTCCACTTGGGAGGTGACTTCAAATCACAGTCATCCCTTGGTGTCTAGCTGCAAGAAATTGGCTCAGGACATCCCCTTGAGATACCCAAATCCCTGATTTTCCAGTCCCTTATATAAAATGGCATAGCATTTACATATAACTTACATCCTATGTACTTTGAATCATTGCTAGGTGACTTATAATACCTAATGCCACATAAGTAGCTGTTGTATTATTTAGGGAATAATGACAATCGGAAAAGTCTGTACCCCTTCAACATCCATGGTTGCTTGACTCTGCAGATACAGCAGGCTGACTGGACACTTGGTAAGGTCAAGACACTCTACCAAAGCCCAAGGCCAAGCACTCAGGGGGTTTACTGTTTCACATAACTGGGAAAGGAAAGGTGCTCAGACATAATGTGAAGACCAGGGAAAGCCTTCCTCACCCACAGAGACCAGGTGGCTGTAGGTCTCCAGCATCACCTCCCGGTACAGGATCCTCTGCGCAGGGTCCAACCACTGCCACTCCTTCCGTGTGAAGCCCACAGCCACATCCCCAAACGACAGTGACCCCTGGAACAGCACGTGCCCGGTTAACATGGAGTGGTCAGCACTGAGTATAGGCTGCAAAGGCGAGGGAGGTTGATCTCACTTGGTCACAGGCCAAGTTTCCCCAGGTTACCTTATCTAGGAGGCTTAGCACACCCCTCACCTTGAACTACCCTTTGTGGGGGAGAGAAAAGATCATTTAAAAAGTTCTCACTATGGGCTGGGCGTGGTGGCACATGCCTGTAATCCCAAAGGCTCAGGAGGCTGAGGCAGGAGGATTGCAAATTCAAAACCAGCCTCAGCAAAAATGAAGTGCTAAGCAACTCGGTGAGACCCTGTCTCTAAATAAAATGCAAAATAGGGCTGGGGGTGTGGCTCAATGGTTGGGTGCCCCTGAGTCAACCCCAGTATCACCCCCCCAAAAAAGGGTCTCCATTCCCTCCTCCAGTGGTCCTGATAAGCTATGGTGTTCCACTGGAGTTTGGCGCTGAGAGGTGGAACACAGCACTGCCGTGATCTAAAGGTGCCCAGAGTGTGCTGGGATGAGATGAACCACAAAGACAGCAGCAGAGAAGATTACAATGAAAAATATGCTTTCATTATTTCTGAGCCAGCAATGAAATTTGATGAACTGATATCAGATTCAGCTGCACAGGAAATCACATCTGAGTAGTCATGAAAGTCAAAGGGGCTCTGGTATCTGAAGGATATTCCTGTCGAGAGGACTGGCACCAGCAAAGGGGTCACAGGAAAGTCTGGCAGGGACCACAAAGAGTTGATGACAGAGAGTGGAAGGGGTGTGCTGCACAAGCTATTCGCAGGACAAATTAAGGTCTCCCCCACCTTGAGGCAATGGAGACTCCTATTTAAGGAGAGGAACCACAAAAAAAAAAAAAAATTGGAACAAAATAAAGAGGCACTGGGAAGAAGAATGAGGAAATAAATGAGAGCACAATTCTAATCATCAATATATATAATGAGAGGTAAAAATTAAAGCTGCAGAAAGAGGAAACAGAAGAAGGACCCACAGATGCTGAATGGGACTCACCACCCCCCCCCCATCACCATGAATAAAAACCTGAATTTAAAATTTTTAATTTTTACTAATTAGAAGAAAGGGTAAGAGGATAGATTTGTGGAATGGAAATAAGGGTTTAAGTCACAAAAGGCAAAGATCAAAAAGGAAAAGGTCTGTAGTGAGGATTTTTAAAATGATCTTTTCTCTCCCCCACAAAGGGTAGTACAAGGTGAAAGGTGTGCTAAGCCTCCTAGAATACATGACCAGTGTAACTCCACATCGTGGACAACTACAAGAATGGGAAGTCATACTCCATGTATGTATAAGATGTCAAAATACACTCTGTTGTCATGTATATCTAAAAAGAACAAATTTAAGCTGGGTATGGTGGTGCACACCTGTAATCCGCATGACTCAGGAGGCTGAGACAGGAGGATCACAAGTTTAAAGCTAGCCTCAGCAATGGCAAGGTACTTAGCAACTCAGTGAGACCCTATCTCTAAATAAAATACAAAAATAGGGCTGGGGATATGGCTCAATAGTTGAGTGCCCCTGAGTTCAATCCCTGGTACCAATAAATAAATAAAAAGAAAAGGAACAAATTTGATCAGGTGCAATGGTGCACACCTGTAATCCCAGTGCTAAGGAGGCTGAGGCAGGAGAATCAAGAGTTCAAAGGCACCCTCAGCAAAAGAGAGGTGCTCAGCAACTCAGTGAGACCCTGTCTCTAAATAAAATACAAAATAGGGCTGGGATGTGGCTCAGTGGTCAAGTGCCTCTGACTTCAGTCCCCAGTCCCCAAAAATAAAAAGAACAAATTTTGAAAAGGAAAAGGTGGGCAATTTTACCTATATTTTCATTCATACAGATGCCACTTTCATGAAAATTAAAAGCAAAAAGCCCAGATAAATTTTCAAGAGCGTAACTGACCCTGCTGTGAACTCCTGGACAGCAATAAGAAACAAACAGAGCACTCCATGGACAGCAACCTGGAGGATGGGACAGCCATTCACAGGAGCGAGAAGAAAGTAAACTGAAATGGGCTCATAGGAACTAATCAGAAAAAATGAAAATTGAAACATAAACACCAACAGCTGGGGTTGTGCTCAGTGGCAGGGTGCTCACCTAGCACGTGCGAGGTCCTTGGTTCGATTCTCAGCACCATGTAAAAAACAAATAAATAAATAAGATAAAGGTATTGTGTCCAATTAAACTAAACAATTTTTTTAAGTTAAAAAAAAAACACACCAAAACCTCTATGCACAGCCATCTCATCAGTGAACGCTTGCTTAAACGTGTCACAAAGGTTTCAAGGCGTTTCACATTGAAAGACCAGGATGCAGAGAAAAAAGAAGCAGGTGGGAGCGTGGAGTGGCACTGGGCCATCTCTGCTTCTGTGCAAATCCACCAGCAAACAGGACACTCGTTGCCCAGAGCAGACTGAACAAAAAGATGACAGTGGCATCATTGTTTATGACAACAAAAAGATAAGACAGTCACCCTGTCTATAGGGGCTGGGATGAATGGACCCGATCTTTACCATTTCTACAGATGGCTTATAGATATGTACAAATGCAATTAAAATATTAAAAACATGGGCAGGAAAATATCAAATTCGCAGATGTGTCACTGGGAAAGAAGGAGAATGAGGAAAGGAAAAGAAAACATGGTGTATGTCCATTGAGGGGACTAGCGTGGGCTAAGTGTACAGCTCCAGAGGCAGCATGCTGGGGTTTGAATCCCAGCCCTGGCACATGCCAGCTTTGTGACCTTATGCAAATTACATTCCCTCTCTGAGCCTTAATTTCTTAATTTGCAAATGGGAACCCTGGGAGTATTCTACCTCTTAGAATGCTACTGAGTCAAAACACACAAAATTCTTATTGCGGAGGTCTTCCGTGGTATTATTCATGTTATCAAAAGATCTGAAAAGATACAAAAGATCTGAAAGCAACATGACAAAATGTTAACATTTACTTAACATTTATTCATTGTGAGTAACAGGAATAATGTCTCTTGGTTTTTGTTTTTTTTTAAGTGCTGGGGATTGGACCCTAGGGCCTCACCCATCACATAGGAGGTAAGTGCTCTAACACTGAGCCATACCCTCAGCCTGGGTCTCTTCATATATTACCCTTACATTTTTTTCTTAATTTTTCAAGATTAAAAAATATCTCTGCTCAACCACTGCTTTAGCTTCCCTCCCTCCAAAAAATGCTTAAAAACAGCAAACCTATTTTTAAAAAACAGAATACTAAAGGAGCCCTCCTCCAGTACACAGAAGACCACAGGAAGTTTCAGGAACTATCCTGTCCCAAATACAGGGACAGGATAGACAAATCGACAAAGAGTAACTGCAGAAACAGACCAAGAGCTCTGTGGGAATTTAACAAGTGACAGAGAATTCATTTAAATTTTAAATGTAAGTTAAAAATGCAGGTGCTTGGGGCTGGGGTTGTAGCTCAGTGGTAGAGCACTTGCCTAGCATGAGTGAGACACTGGATTCAGTTCTCAACACAGCATATAAATAAAACTAAATTTTTTTTTTAATTGCAGGTGTTCAGTCTTATGCTCCGGCCCTGGGCATCCAGGAAAAATCAAGTTAGGTGTCCAGTCTTGGCTAAAAGAAATCTAAGATTTAGAATGTCAATAGGGCTATGGTTGTGGCTCGGCGGTAAAGTGCTTGCCTAGCATGTGAGAGGCCCTGGGTTCAATTCTCAGCACCACATAAAAACAAATAAACAAAATAAAGGTATTATGTCCAACTACAACTAAAAAATAAATATTTTTTTAAAAGATTTAGATCTCAAAAAGATGAAATGGCACAATTATATTGCTCAGGGGATTCTGATATTGTCACATGATGAATGGGACTTCACACTGATAACACCTATGAAGAAGAGTGAGTTTGAGGCTTTCCTCATGATGGAAAGTGGGAGGATGTTGGCAAGAGAGAGCTGAGGAGCCCCCTGAACATGTGCTGCTCCTGTGCAGAGATGAAGGATGTGCAGGCTTATGTAGGCAAATGGGGGGGCCTGAGGTATCCCCCATAGTGGGCCAAGCAGGAGCAGAAAGAGATGAGGGGAGAGTGACCCAGAAAGGAGAGTAGAGCCCAGACCACACAGAAAGCCACCATGGTCTTGTGACAATGCCCTGATCTCTAGAAAACTTACAACCAAGGGTGAACTGCTGAAGCCGGTGACCTTAGAAATAATACTCACTTATCACACACTAAACCTGTACTGCCTGACAGAAATATCACAAGTTGAAAATTTTCTAGTAGTCATTTGCCTAAAAAGTAACAAGAAATGGGTGAAACTGTTATTTAACTCAATATGTCCAAGATATAATCATGTATTACACAATCATTTAAAAGTCACTGAGACATTTTTCATTGTTTTTCACACACATCTTCAAAAGTCTAGTGTGTATTTTACACCTATAGCACGTCCCAATTAAGCCACCATTAAATGGTTAAGATAAAATACAATACTGTCAAATTGATGCTCCTGTGTTTAACAGAAAAATATTTTCCTCTTGTCTATTTTTAAAATTTAAATGTAAGTTAAAAATGCAGTTGCTCAGTAGTCCCTCATGGCTAGTGGCCACCAGGCGGGACAGTATGGTCTGGACTAGTGGATACTATTGAATTCCTTTGCTGGACACATGGTACCCGTAGATGAAACTACTAAGGGCCCAGTTCTACAGTCTGTCTGCATTCAGACTCCATCCCCACCACCTAAAAGACACCAGACTTCAGGCAACTTGTTTAACTATTTCCGGCCTCAGTCTGCTCATCTGTAAGATGGGAAGAGGGGCTACATGAAGTATCTCTCTCATACATTTATTCATGAAATTATATGAAAATAGAAGAATGGAACATACGTGCTCAACTGACAGTTTTATAACTTTTTTAAAATTTTGAGATGGGGTCTGACTATGTTGCCCAGGATGGCCCCAAATTCCTGGGCTCAGGGGATCTTCCCGCCTCAGCCTCCCAAGTATCTGGGATGAGAGGTGGGCCACTCATACATAGGATAAGTTTTATAGATTTTATTGTTACCACCTTCACTATAGATTCTCTCAACAGGAGACACTCCCAGTGAGACTTGGTTTCCCACAAACATTAGCTTCCAAGACACACAGCCCACGCCACCCCCCAGGCTTCCCATACAGCTGGAGTTGGCTCTCTCCTAGGATGATCTGCAGCCCTACTTCCCTGTTCTCAATGCTTCTGGCTTCAAACAGCCCCAAGCTTCGGCACAGACACAGAAACCAAGACCCTGGGAAGGCTTTACTCCCTGGAGTGGATGGCTGCATCCTTTGTTCTTGGGACTTTGTCTTTCTCAGGGGCTCGCCTTATCCTCCCCACCCCATGCAGGAGACTTAGCCCTTCTCTGTGGCAGCTTGTCTACAGGAGGTGGGGACACTGTGGCCACAGTGTCTGGCTGCATGGATGAAGTCAGTATGGGAGCAGAAAATCAAAGAAGCAAGGCCAAGGAACAAGAAAACCTCCTGACGGTATGTGGGTTCCTGAAGCAGTGGTTTGTGGGCCCCTGCTACAGACCCTCTGCAGCTCAGGGGCTGCCTGTGGATTCAGGTGTGTTCTAGGTGGGCTCCAGCTCCTGCAACTTCAAGGACTCTGACTGGTACTTTTCACATTCATGAACTCCTAGAGGCCTTTGAAGAAGATACACGTCTGAGGACGCTGACAAACTGCTAAACAATATCACTATCGTCAGGAGACCCTAACAACCAAGAGGAAAAGGACTCAGAGGAGGCCAAGGACAGATGATGAGGACTGAGTCCTGAGGAGAGAGAGGAGGCCTCCTCCTCAGACTCAAGGAATAAAAGCTAGATCTCATATTGTCCTCCTTCCACGTCTCTGTCCAAGACTGGAACTTTGAGCCATTCCCTCTCCATCTGTCAAAAGTTATTATGGAAAATAATTTGAAGAACAGATGATTTGTGCGCCCTTTCCTCTAGCTAATGGGGTGTCTGTCCAGGTCAGCATGAGCTGAATGAGGCTGCTTCTGTGGACCCACGTGTTCAGATTCCCTGAACAGCTGTGATCGCAAATGTCTGCCTCAGCACACACACAGCTCTGCCGTCGTGTTCATTTCAAGGTTGTGACTTAGGAAACTTTCTGATACATCTCACATATGCAGATTCATCAGATACATCAAAATAAATGCCTAAACTTTATTTCCCCTGAGAAGATGACATGCTTATCCCAAACAGACAACACGAATCCTGTATTGAACGAAGTCAGCCTTTTTAATGTTACAGAAATGTCTATGTACATTGACAGGACGCCATGTAACTCTGGCAACCTCTGCTGTGTATCTCCCCTGCTCTCCCCAGGGCCTTGAGCGGTCATTCGCTTCCTATTCTTACAGATCCTGGCTTCTGCTGCGTTATTTTTTGATTGGGTGCGTTCTTCAAGATCCTGAAATCCCTGGTGAAATGAAGCCCAGTCCCAAGAAATGCCACACTCACCTGGGACATGATCCTTCCCTGAAGTCCTAGGCAAGCAGACACCTGTGGGGCAGACATTGGGGTGGGGAGAAGATGACATGAGGAGCCAGGTTGGCCTCGGGGCCTCCACTTACCTGTGTGTTCACCCCAGGCTTCTGTGAAGCAGCCCCATACTCACAGCAAAACCCTTGCCTTAGAAAAGGAACCAATCTTGTAAAGCTTAGTTTTGCCTTATTTTGCAGTACTGGGGATTGAACCCGGGATTGCTCTACCACTGAGCTATACCCCAACTCTTTTTATTATTTATTCTGAGACAGGGTCTTGCTTAAATCACTCAGGCTAGCCTCAAACTAGCAATGCTCCTGCCTCAGCCTTCAGAGTCATTGGGATTACAGGTATGCACCACCACACCCGGCAAGGCTTAGTTTTTCAATGAATATATATACATTTGTGTCTCAGTAATTGATGTGCAATTTACTATAACCCTCTACTCCCCAGAAATTCTCTTAACAGAAATTTTTCTGAAGGACCACTCAGGAGTTTGGGCAAAGATTTAGCTGCTGAGATTACAATTTGGTAAAACTCCGAAGAAAATAACATCCAAATATAGAAGACTTGCTAAATATACTACATTTATTATATACCTAATAAAAACAAAATCACAAAAAAAACTATCAGTAACATGCTGATAACTGAAAAATGAGGTTGAAAACTATTTGAACCAGAAATCACACACAGGATTCAATCTCTGAAATGACCTTAGATAAAAGATAAAATGGTAGTAGTCATTAGCTTTGGGGAATAGATAATTTTTTTTGTTTGTTTTTGTACTAGGGATTGAACCCAGGGGTGCTTAACCACTGAGCCCTTTTAATTATGAGACAAGGTCTTGCTAAGTTGCTTAGGGCCCTGCTAAATTGCAGAGGCTGGTGGTGAATTTGTGATTCTCCCGCCTCCCAGCCTCCTGAGTCCGGGGGATTATGGGCATTTACTACAACATTTGGCTAGATAATGATCACTTTAACATTTGTTTCTTTGTACTTAGGTAACTTTTCTAAGCTTTTCTACGACAAATAGGCATTTCAGATATGATGTTTTTTAAAAGATTGTGTTTTGTTTTGCAGTACTGGGGATCAAACCCAGAAACACCACCACCCCCCATGCTAAGGAGGCCTCTGCACACTTCCAACCCCCTGGTGTTATTTTCTAAATATCTGTAGGCTATTAATCTTCTAGTCCAAAGCTTCTATCATCAGTTCTGCCCTCAGAGTTGAGGAAATCCACAGGAAAATATAAAAATGGGCTTCTGGAGGCAGAGTTCATTAAAGGGAGCTTATGAATTGCACCACTCAATCCCTGCTAAATTTGGTTTGTTTGCCCTGGTCGGGCTCTGACACCTACAATTCACTTGGGGTGAATTTTACTGGCCCCTGCATCCTCCCGCTTGTCTCCTTGTTTCCCAGAAATCAGGAGCATAAAGGCTGGGGAACAAATGCACCTTTGTTGGAAGCACTGGCCTGACTTCCCCCATCGCTCCCCCGAGCAAACTTGGCCTTGGTCTTAGAAGCGTCTCTCCAGAGTCAGCAAGCTCACCTGGGGGCTCAGTTCCTGAGTTGATCCAGGAATTCAGGAGAAACACTAAAACCCTGCAGAATTATGGTAACTCTATAAATAATCCTGAAAGTATTTTTCAAAAATTAGAGACTATCTACCATCTTGAAAATAGAGATTGGTTAATAATTATGATACAGTTAAAGCATGCCACGTTATGAATCAATTTAAAATATTATAGAAAATGAATTTAACATGGAAAGATCTTCCAGCAATACTAGTAAGGTAAAAAAAAGCAGGATCTATGAGTGTGATCCACAGAGGGTAACAGGAGGTGGGTGGAATTTTCCCAGATGCTTTGGAATTTTAGCTAAAACACCCCAAATTCTGGGGAGCTGCTAGATATACCCTAACAAATTCCTACCTTTAGGAGAGGGACATAACAAAAGAAGTGTCCATCCCTCCCAAGCTCAGAATGGGAGCTCCAAGAGAAGCAGGCAAGGAGTCCCTGAAAGTGCCTGAGAGAAAGGCACACTGTGGGTCACTAGAGGGTTCTTGTGCAAGCCTGGGGCCTGGGTAAACCCGAGATCAGAAACCAGCTTCAGAGCTGAAGGATTCAGAAGCCAGAAGCCGGCCACGGCCACTGGCAGCAACCTGGTAAGTAGTTAGTGGGTGGTGGAAGGGGGTCACCTGCACTCCCAACATTTGCTAAAATAGGAATGTCAGGGTCTCCTGGGCACCAAGAGGACCCAGGGAAACTGAGTGGGCTTGAGATTTATAGCACAGAAGCCAGAGTGAGGACAGCCACCCAGAGGGGTGGGAAACACTGAGGCAGGAGCTTCAGGGCAGTGCACAGAACTCTGAGAGCACCCCAAAAAGTACCACCAGCTGGCCTCCTGCCAACACCCTGATCTTGAACTTCAACCTCCACAACCGTGACACAACATGTTTCTGTTGGTTTATCAACCCAGTTTATGGTACTTTCTTATCACTACCCTAGAAAACTGATACAGAAAGGCAGACCCAACTGATGTGGGTCAAAACCAGTAGCCTGTCCTGTTTCCTGTTTGTATATATCAACTTCAGCACATTAAACATAAAAGAAAAAGTCTGATGAAAATGCTCACTATGGTTATCTTTTTTTGAATATTTATTTTTTAGTTTTAGGTGGACACAATATCTTTATTTTATTTTTATGTGGCGCTGAGGATCGAACCCAGTGCCTCATGCATGCTAGGTGAGCACTGTACCACTGAGCCACAACCCCAGCCCCTATCTTTGCATGGTGAGATTTTCTTTTTCTTAAGCAGTGGCATTTTCTAATTTTTTAAACAATAAGCACATGCTCATTGTTTAATATTTAAATATTTCATATCATACATTCATCATATTACTGCATTTTCTTCCCATGAGCCTACCACAGCCCTTCCCCAGGAGGAAAGGAACCCACAAGAAGGGATGAAGGGGCAAGTTTTATCAATGAGTAGCGGGAATATGGAAGCAGCCCCTGCATGGCCACAGGAGCCCTGGTCACCAGGGCTGGCTCAACTACTAGAGAGCGCATGGGCTCTGAACATCTCTCCCACCCACTTCCTCTCGTCTTTAACATGAGAAGGAAAAACAAAAATATTCTCTGGTTAATAGCCAAGTGAGGTGGCACACTCCTGTAATCCCAGCGGCTAGGGAGGCTGAGGCAGGAGGATCACAAGTTCAAAGCTAGCCTCAGTAAAAGCGTGGCACTAAGCAACTCAGCGATACCCTATTTTTAAATAAGAGACAAAATAGGGCTGGGGATGTGGCTCAGTGGTTGAGTGCCCCTGAGTTCAATCCCCAGTACCCACAAAAAAAAAAACAACCAATATGCCATGACCACAGCTTAAGAGGGGGACATACATGGAGGTGACAGTAACATGGGCAGAACTGAAGTCTCACTACACAAAAGGAAGAAGTGAAGGTCACCTCATGGGAGTTTAAAGATGGCTGTGACTGGAGGTCTTCCTCCAAGTGTCAGGAGATCCCCCTGTTCACTCCACTAAATCCTTGAAGGCCCTTTGATGTGAGGGTGTCATCCCAATGACTCTGTCCCCAAGGATCAGGGTTGTTTCAGACACAGATAGATGCTGCCTTCCACTGACACCCTCCACCTGCGGCCCTGAGCTACACAGAGATGCCTCAGAATAGGGACCTTGCTTTTTTAAAAAATTTTTTATGTTGATGGACCTTTATTTTATTCATTTATTTATACGTGGTGCTCAGAATTGAACCCAGGGCCTCACACATGCCAGGCAAGTGCTCTACCAGCTACAACCCCAGCCCTGGGATCTTGCTTTTGAAAGAGGATTCCTGCTCTCCAGTCATCTTCTTTACTGAGAATTATTTTGTCCCTAGGATGCAAGGGCACTCAGTTGCCAGAGCTCTGCTTGCTGGACGAGCACTCACCTTCAGTGGGAGGCTCAGCTTCAGCCTCTGAACCTCTCTGGAGGAAAAGAAAGCTGGTCAGTGCAGGAAGGAGGGAGCCACCTCAGTTACAAAGTCTGGCCCTAAGCCTTGGCCAAGACACTAAAGGAAAGAAAACGACACAATGAGGCTCCTGTGAGAACATCAGCAGGGCCCTTTCCATCCCAGCTGCAGGCAGAAGGAGATGCCAGAAAGACTGGGCACACAGAGGAGTCTGAGCTCCTTTTCTGGTTTTGCAAATGGAGAGGCCACATAAGAGAGAAGGCAGGTGGCTCGAAGGAGCTAAAAGAGGGCCCTGCTGTCTTCCAGCAAGGAACTGGGGACCTGAGTCCTAAAACCCAACCCTGCCAACCACCTGAATGTACTGGGAGGCAGATTCTTCCCCAGAGCCTCTAGATAATAGCCCACCAACACCTTGCTTTTGGCCTTGTGGCACTGGGTGTAGAGCCCAGCCAGACGCACCTGAACTTCCCACCTGCAGAACTGTGGGCTCACAGACAGGTATTGATCACTCCATCGGTGGAAATGTGTTCCACAGTAATAGACAACTAACACTTGCCTCGCCTCTGCTGGGTGCTCACAAGAAAGCTTAGGGTTGAGAGAAAGACCAGACACACCCCTTGAGAGTGAGGGTCTGGGGGAAGGCATGGCTGCCCAGGAAGGAACTTCAGGAAGCCATCCAGAATTTTCTGGGGAACAGAAGCTGGAAGCTACTAGGGGAGGGCCATAAACTCTTATGATCCCAGAGCATGGTAAAGCCAAAGGCATTTTGCTATGGCAGAGAGGCAGAAATGTGTTCTAGGCTCAAGCTTAGGGGTCTCCTACCACTAGAAGAGGAGGAGGATCCCTGAGACTCCAGGACCCACCTAAAACTGAGGTAACAAAGAGCACCTCTGCCCTTCCCCACCAGGCTGGGAGGCTCTGAGAAGTAAACAACAGCCATCAATAGCAGGATCCAGTCAAGAGGGGATGACTCCGCTTGAAGCACAAAGTGATGCTACAGAATTATGAGATAAGTGGTCCAATGCAGGTAACTATAGCAACAACAAACCTACCACCCACTCCAATGCTAATTGGATGGGGCTCAATCATCGTCCTGACTTCCCAGCTCCACATGCAACGACAGCCCAACAGAACTGGCCTATGTCCAGTCTCTTCTGTCCCACCCAACATCTAAGCAAGCCTTCAAGAGAAAAAGACGAGATGTGCAAAGAGTGAGAAAAAAATAATACCCTGTAGAGAGAGAGAGAGTAATGAACAGATGCTAACTCCATCTTACAGCTGTAAGCAGCGAGAGATATATATATAATGGAAGTGCATGGCAAAGGTCACATAAAACAAACAAAAAAAAAAGACCAGGGAAACTGACAAACCATCACAGCAAAGGATTTTTTTTAGTTATAGTTGAGCACAATACCTTTACTTTATTTGTTTGTTTTTATGTGGTGCTAAGGATCGAACCCAGCGCCTCACACATGCTAGGCAAGTGCTCTACTGCTGAGCCACAACCCCAGCCCACAGCAAAGGATCTTAACACCCAGTTTTGGAAAATAAGATCTAGAATGAAAAAAAAAAATAGGAAAAATAGCATACAGAAGACATTGATAACAATTTAGAAACCCAATCTATTGCATATAGACAGAAAAAATGTACTCAATATTAGAGAATACACATTCTGTTAGACACATGTGGAATGTATGTGGAATATTTATAAAAACTAACAAGCTAAAAAAACAAGCCTCAACAAATATCAAAAGAAAGTCAATATTACATAGATCTGATGCAGAGATCTATAAAATTAGAAAAAAATGCAAAAAACTATTTAAATTGTTAAACATCAAGTGAAATGGATCCATTGTCAAAAATATACCCATTATGGGGCTGAGGCTGTGGCTCAGTGGTAGAGTGCTTGCTAGCATGTGTGAGGCACTGGTTTCCATTCTAGCACCACATAAAATTTTTTTTAAAAAAACGCATTCTGTCCATCTACAACTACAAAAAAAAATTTAAATATACCCATTGAAAGAAACACCAGGTCCGCATTTTTTTTAATTTTATCAAATTCTACTTAAAATCTCTGTAATATGCATATGTAGTTCATTTGAGGTGTTTGTCAATTTTAGTAATTTACATTTTTCTAGACTATTGTCCCACTTACTTTTGAATTTATGGTATTAAATAATTAAAAGTAATCTCTTAAGGGCTGGAGATGTGGCTCAAGCGGTAGCGCGCTCGCCTGGCATGCGTTCGGCCCGGGTTCCATCCTCAGCACCACATACAAAGATGTTGTGTCCGCCGAAAACTAAAAAAAATAAATAAATGTTAAAATTCTCTCTCTCTCTCTCTCTCTCTCTCTCTCTCTCTCTCTCTCTCCCTCTCTCTCTCTCTCTTTAAGAAAAAAATTAATCTCTTCAAATTAGAAAAAAATGTTTCTGAGATGGTCTTTTTCATATCCAGAAATGGTTTATTTTTGCCTTCCTTTGATCAACTGAGCCCCCAACTCCTCTAAATTATTAGTTTTAAATAGAAGCTAATTATTTTATGAATTTTAGCAAATCCTTTCCAAGAACTGACCTCTTTAAAAAAATTTTTTATTTGGACACAACGTTTTCACTTTAAATCTTGAGAATCACATCAAGAATCCCTGAATCCCTCACCTAGATGTTCCAATATTAACATCTTACCACATTTGTATAGTGGGTGAATAAATTTTTTTCAGGGCTGATGGAGGAAGAAGATTCCACCATGAGGTGGCAGAGCACACATTAGATAAGTGAGGCTCTGCCACCTCACACTGAGCCCTTCCAGGTCTCTGGCATGGGGATAGGGTAAGGCTACTCCTGGGTATCTCTGAGTCACAGCCACTTGGGGTCTTGATAACCAGATGGTTTTACATAACTACTGATAACAGATGTTGACTGCCATTGAGTTAAGATATCTCAGCCTCCTGAGAAGAAATGAATAATGAAGGGGTCACTACATGGACGCCATCTTGGACTCATTCACATAACAATTTACTTCATCCTTCTTTTCCTCTTTCCATCTTTCAGATAGAGGAAATCTCTATCTGAAATAGGTAGAGGAAATCTAGATGTTAGGTAGAGGAAATCTCTATCTAACAATTAGCGATTTCCTCTAATTTCCTTTATCTATCTAACAATCTCTATCTTTCAGAACACTTGACATTTTTAAGAGTTACAAACCAGTTACCTTATAATGATATTGTTCTTTGATTTAGGTTTTTTATAAATGGAGAAGGGTGTAAGTAAATGTGAAATTCCACAAAATCAAGGATATTTTGTCACACACCACAGTATTGTAATAAGAAATCAGGAAAATCAGGAATCCAACACCATGGTCAAGTCCACAGCCTTTATTTACATTATACTTGTCCCAGTAATATCCTTTCTGTATTTCATATACTTCACTGCTTTCTTTTTCATGCCTCTCCTAGAGTCCAGAACAATTTCCTCAATCTCTTTCAGAACACTGACATTTTTAAGAGTTACAAACCAGTTATTTTATAATTATATTGTTCTTCAATTTAGATTTTTTTAAATGTTTCATCATGATTTGATTCAGGTAATATGTTGAAAGCATGAACTTTTTTTTTTTTTTTGTACCAGCTCTATTATTTCTTTGATTCTTTCTTTGAAAAATTCTGTTGGGTGTGGTGGTACATTCCTGTAATCCCAGTTGCTCCAGAGGTTGAAACAGGAGGATCACAAGTTTGAGACCTGCCTGGGCAACTTAGTGACACCCCGTCTCGAAAATAAATAAAAAGGTCTGGAGATGTAGCGCAGTGGTAGAGCTCTTGCCTAGCACAGCGAGGTCCTATTCAATCCCTAATGTTATGGGGTACCAGAAAGAAGAGGGAAAAAAATCGGCTTATGCTTTTTTCTTTTACTCTTTTTCTATGCAAGCCTCCTGAGTTGAGTGCCATTAATTTTCAGTCTATTTATTTAATTTAATTTTTTGCAATGCTGGGGATAGAACCAAGACCTTGTACATGCTAGGCAAGCACTACATCTCTGAGCTACATCCACAGCCTTTTTTCTTTTCTGGTTTTTTTTGTTTGTTTGTTTGCTTGTTTGTTTGTTTAATGTTGAGGGTCTTTGCTAAGTTGCTGAGGCTGTTCTGAACTTGTGATCTTCCTTCCTTGGTCTCTCAGTTAGCTGGGATTACAGAAGGGCATTACCATAACCGGTTTCTCTCAGTCTTTTTATTTAATGTATATCTTAGGACCATAAGAAGTTAAAAAGAAAAGTAATAAATTAAATTATTGGGAAAATTTTTTTAAAATTTTTTTAGTTGTAGTTGGACACAATACCTTTATTTTATTTACTTTTATGTGATGCTGAGGATTAAACCCAGGGTCTTGCATATGCTAGGTGAGTGCTGTACTACTGAACCCACAACTCCAGCCCCAATTATTTGGAAATTTTATGAAAATTAATAAAATAATTGGTTTTAATTTAAAACTATGGGCTGAGGATGTGGTTCAGTGGTTAAGCACCCCCGGGTTCAATCCCTGGTATCAAAAAAAGTGTATGTTTTTTCATTCATTACTCTCCTATATTCATATATGAATGCATGACCAGTGTAACTCCACATCACATACAACCAGAAGAATGGGAAGTTATACTCCATGTATATACAATATGTCAGAATACATTCTACTGTCATGTGTAACTAAAAAGAATCAAAAAAATTAAAAACTAATAAAATGTACAAAGTTCAGACACAACCGATCAAAAGAAGAAGAAAACCACAAAAAAGAAACAATTTCATAAATAGTAATTTTTTAATTATAAGAAATTACCATAAAAATTTAACACCATAGATTAAAATTAAGTCAGGCAATAGTCTAGAAAAATGAAAATTACTCAAATCAACTGATGAAGAATCAGGAAACCAGAATAAACTACTAAACATTAAATGAAATGGATTTATACTTACTCAAAACTACACCGAGAAACGTCAGAAGTTTTATCAAATTCTATTCAAGATTTTTACAAAGTGTATGAGCCAAAATGGATTTATGCCTAAAACACATGAAGAAATACTAAAATCAAATAAGAAAAAGACAACCAATATAGGCAAAAGGGTTCAACACACAAAATAATCCTATGTATTGTTTCTGGCTACATTCATACCTAGGATGTAAACAAAAGCATAGCAGGATACATTGAAATTTTAGGACTGGTCATCTTTGAGTGAGTGGAAGAATGCCAAAATGCTCCAATAGTGTTTATAAGATTTTAATTCCTTAGAATATCTAAAGCAAATAGACACTTGCTCAATCTAGAATCATACATAGTTCCTCTTCTTTCCCCTCTCCCCGCCTCCACATCCCGCCCCAGCTCAAACCTGTTTGTCCTAAAAAAGCATCAAAGAAAGATTGATTCTCCTTCAACTCTGCATTACATCCCAACAGGTCATTGCTCACCTCTCTTCACCAAGTGACTTAAAATAATGGTCTCTGCTAAACCGCTAAGCTGGCTCCCACCTGCTTACTCCACCTACTTTGCAAAAGGAGGCAAGGTGCTCTTGTCCTGATCACAGTGGGTCCCATCTCCACCACCTTTATATATCTGAAACTTTTCTGCCTATCCAGTTCTCACTGCCTCAATCCTGCCCTTATCAGCTATACTTGTTGCAAGTATATGGTGACCCAAACCCAAATCCACCGGTGCCAAGACGCATGCACCGGCACCAGGATGGAGCCTAGGAAGACCACACCCCTCGACCGAGCCCGCAAGTCTCCTCCACCGGCTCCCGAGTCTCCAACCTTCTCTGCCACGCGAAGTCGGGCAAGACACCGGGTCCTGTACTTCTCATCCTTACAAATGCTGTTCAGCCTGGAATATCCTTTTGTCCCGTTTCACCGGCGCAGACCCTATTTTCAAGTCCCACCTGCGGTCACCCTTCTCAAGTCGGAACTGGTACCGCTGGGTATCCATTCGTCCAGTCTGGATAATTTGTTAAAGTGACCAACAGCTCCACAAGACTCAAGCTAAGGACGGAACCCACTTCTTTGCTCCCCTGCAATCGGACCCAGGGTCTCAGCAAATGTTTTTTGAATGAACCCAGAGCCCTGAAATAAAACCACTTCCCGAAAATTTCTTCATTTTCCTCATCTCTCTCTGCCTACTTCTGGCTATAGCGTGGGGTCAGCAGGAGTGAGAGAAGGTTAGAGAGGAAGGGGACATCCCCTACTGGGACAGGGGGCTTTCCTCCGTGAGTCCCCACTCCCCTAGAGACTCAGACACTGAACCCGGCAGGAGTGGAGTTCAGAGACCTGGGTGTGCAGACAAGCTCCAGGGCAAGGGTCGGAAGGAAATCCACTCTAGGGAAAGAAGGGTGACCTTTAGGCAGCTCACCGGAGTCCAAGTGGTCCGTGTACGCACCTCCAGGGGACGGTGGGCTCCGACGAGGCGAGCTGCGGGAGGAGACAGAGTAAGTGAGAAAACAGACTTGCCTGTGACTCCCGGACCCACTACCTGTGGCGTCCCCTAGCCGAGTCGGACAGCACCCCGACACTTTGATGTCCGACTGAGTCCCAAGGGACCCACACTACCCCTGCCTGGTGCCCAACTGCCTCTGCAGCAAGTGGGTGCCGGCCACCCTGGTACTCCACACAGTCCCGGACCGAAGGCGCACCTTGGCGAGGTATGGGAGCGCCCAGTCCCCGGAGCAGTAGATACAACTTAAGGTCCGGAAATGCGCACATCCGAGCCCGACCCGTCAAATATCATGTAAGAGCCCCCAACCACGAGGGGGAACTGGACTACAACTCCCAGAAGGCTCCGCGGCTGGGTGCCTCCGGGCCCCCCACACCCCGGTGATGCACTTCCGGCCACGGTGCAGAGCGGCATGGACGGGCCAGACGTGGCACTGTGTCCTGACTGGAAGATCCTTTCGTGGCACCCGTGGACCCTAAGGCTGTAGGTGAACGCACCCCCTCCCATGTTCTCCTCTAGCCTGTCGTCCCTCTCATGGCTCCCTCGTGGATCTGACCTCGGCCCTGCGCCATCTTGTGGAGTGAGCGATGGCTGCCCACCGAACTCCAAAGCCCGGCCAGGGACTAGTGCCAGGCCACGCACCCAAAGAATATTCGACCTCTCCTCAGTCCTCGTGACAACACCAAAATGAGTGTCCTGAGCCCCATCGCATGGATGAGGAATCGGAGGCAGCCTAACTCCATAAGCACCGTGAAGGAATGCTTGAAAAAAGTGTCAGGTTTCAGGGGATCCTCCTGTAAAAACTATGGCCGTAACTTGTAACTGAGTTAGGACGTAGGAGAGACTGGAGGTAGGAAAGGACTAGCCAGAGTGTGCGTGAAAATTACTCTGGCCGACTACAGCTGCAGTTGGCCCAGAAAACTCGGGGAAGTTCTTATTTACAGTAAGCAGCCCACAAAGCACAGCTGCCCTCCCTTCTAATGACCCAGGAAACTAACTTTTATAACTTCTTATGTATGATTTTTGCAACCGTCAGCCCTGAACTACCAGGAGTTGAACAATAAGTAACAACTTCCTTGAGGAACCAACCAGAGAAAGCCAAATATGCAGCCCTAACCAGCCACCATTTTTTTAACCCGTTTTTGAACATTTATTTAAAGATGATTTCTATTGTTTGTATGGCCTGCTTCTAATTAGCCTCCTCCAGCTTCCCTGGGCCAGTGCCTGAAATCAGAGCATACTTGAAGCTTTCCTCCTGCCTTTGAGTCTGCCAAAACACTATGATTCCCTTGCTATGGCAAGCTTTGAAAAAAATAGCCTTTGCCTGTTCTACTTTGGGTGATCTTGGTTTATTTCCACAGATAAAATTAAGGATATTGTATGTAGATATTGTTATGGCCAGCTTATTAGCTACTACCTTTGTGCAGTTTTCCTATCATTTTCTATGAAAATTATTCAAGATTCACATAGTGATGGTAAAAGAAATTTGAAGTTTAAAATAACGCTTTTTTTGTGCTTGTCCATATATAACTCTGAAATTATTAAATCTTAAAACTTTGGTATTTCCTGCATTACACAACAGTGCCAGTAAGTTGGAGTTCTTGTTTTACAATGTTACTAGGATTGATAAGGGACAGGTGTGAGTTATGGGAATGTGAGGTTAAGGAAATAATTCTATAAAATGGGACCATTTTGCTGCCTCCCACATGCTTTCTTTTCCAAGAAGCAATTTACCTGCGTCCCTGCCAGCTTAAGTGGACAGGATATGTCACATTCCTCAGCAAACTACCTGTTATTTGTAGGAGTAATGCAGGCCTGAAATGTCATTAAAAGGACCACAGATTAGCCTGAAGAAGGATACTTTTGTGATGCTAGATCCTAGATTTCAGGGAGCTAAAGATAATTCCTCATAACCATAAAATCTGTCAAGACTTTATGGTTAAGAATACAACTAGAACCAGTCAGCATGGACCAAAGTGATCTAGAGTTGTCATGGCAGTGGGGACTTGAAAGCCTGAAGTTATCCTGCTGTCCCTTATCAAAACTCAAGTAATAAACTTGACGACTGTCTGGAAATGGAACTGGGATTCCCCAATAAAACTGTCCCTCTCCTGAGAGGACCCAATCTCTCCCTTGAGAGTGTCCCCTTTCCTTTTTCCAGACATGAGGTTTCATGTCTATTACTCTAAGCAACATGTCTGAAATCTTTCTGACTTGATCTCAAGATCCAGGGTTCATAGGGGGACTTTTGTACTATCTTAGTTTTCCAGAAGGGCCCAACCCTATAACAGCATTACCTGTAGAGTTTAAACAAATATGATTGTTTGGGGCTAAAATAGATATTCCTTATAATGTCATGTATCATGTGTGGTGGGGCAATGAATGTCTTCATTTCTCCACTATTTGGGGCTAAAATGCTTTTTTTTTTTTTTTTTTTTAACCTGGTGTGGGTCATTTTGTAGCATGGGGTAAAAATATCTCAGCCATTTGGGAGTTTGCTTAGCTATTTTACCTCATTGGTTAGATTAATTTTCTCTTCTTTCTTTTCAGGGTACCAGTCAGTGTGGGATAAGATTCAGAGAGACAAAGTTCCCAGATATTGTCTGTTTGGAGAATGCTCATTTGCTTGGTCTAGATTGTTTGTGTTTTGATTTCCCTCTTCTTATATTCACATCACCTGAGGGTCTTCTGAGACATATACTAGGTGGCTAGATGACTAACGAATATTATTCCATGACTAAGAAGGGGTCAATGTGCTATTGTAACACAGCATGGCCTGCACATATGTTAGACTCCAGTGATAGATGGTCTCTTAACAATTACTTATTATCATACAATTTTACATTTGGGGTCATTTTATAAAAGATCAAATAAATGGGATGGAATCCCTTACATACAAGTTTTCATGCTATTGTATAATGAAAAGTCTAAGAAAGGATGAAATAAGTTGATAGCACAGAATGGAGGGGGAAACTTTATTCCCCTCCTGGACAAAGCAAAAAAAAAAAAAAAAAAAAAAAACGGGATGAGAGGGAAAATTAAAAAATTAATATTTTGGATTTTCCAAATCTACCCCCAGCTAGTGTAGACGTTATTGTACCATCAAGGAGGATAAAGGAGCCATTGGAGCTGGGCCTCCTCCATCATAAGCAAATAAGGCAAGACCAGTTTCTCTCTGTAAGATCCAACCAGGCACTCAGTTTGGCCAGGGAGCTTCCTGGGAGCAAGACAATATTCCCTAAGGCAGTGTCTACTTGGAGGTGTAGATCAGGGTGGTCCGCCAAGAGGACATTACTGGACTTATGGTCCATTCTCAATATCAGATTTCCTCAGCTGGAAAAGCTGTCATTCACTATAGAGAGAGGATCCACAGAAAATGACCTGTTTGTCCCTGATTTTGCTATACACTGTTCTACTTGGGCAGACATCTAAGCTCTTTTGAATATTCTGCTACAGATGATAAAATGCTAATAATAGACAAGGAATGGCATCTCCATCAAGAAGATCCTACAGAGTCCCTTGCTCCTGCTGTTCCATTGGAACCCAAATCATGTGGAAATGATGGGTCAATTAGATCCTTATAAGTGGTTCATCTTGGCAGGATTAAAGAAGGGGGTGCCTAAGCAGAGAATTTTAAACAGAATACAGGGAATCCAGTAAAAGGCAAATGAGCACCCTTCAGAATGCTTAGAATTTATCAAGCATAATGAAAGTGCATGGACACTGATCCAGAATCCCCAGAGAATATGAGGATGGTTAACATGACATTATAGGGCAAAATATCCTCAATATTCATAAAAAAAAAAAAACTTCAGGGGTTGGGATTGGGGGTTCAGTGGTAGAGAGCTTGCCTTGCAAGTGTGAGGCACTGGGTTCAATCCTCAGCAGCACCACATATAAATAAATAAATAAAGGTATTATGTCCATCTACAACTAAAAATAAATATTTTTTAAAAAACACTTTAAACCAGGCACGGTGGGGCACACATGTAATCCCAGAAGCTTGGGAGGTTGAGGCAGGAAGAATGTGAGTTCAAAGCCAGCCTCAGCAAAAGCAAGACACTAACCAACTCAGTGAGACCCTGTCTCCATATAAAATACAAAATAGGGCTGGGGATGTGGCTCAGTGGTCAAGTGCACCTGAGTACCAAAAAAAGCCAAAAAAACAAAAACATACACACACACACACACAAAAAAAAAAAAAAAACTTCAAAAGCTGGGAAGGGTATAGGAATGAATCCATCCCAATTGGTGGATACTGCTTTTTAAATATATAATGTAAGAGAAACAGAAAAAGGATGAGCAGGCTACAGTTTTGTGGCACAATAGGAAGAGACATAAGAAAAGGAAGGAGAGATAGATCAGGTAAACATGGAAACGTGAACCTGTAGGAGGACCTCTGTGCACACTGCAGGGAAGAGGGACATTGGAAACATGACTGTCCACAATTCAAGAAAGGGAATGGGGGAAGAGAAGGAAAAACACATAGAGATTATTAAACAGGACTGTGATTCAAATGAGGAATAAGGAGGCCCAAAGAGTCCCCTTAATCTCTGAGAGCCAATCAAGATTGCCCCACAGGAGCCCCAGGTAAATTTTTGACAGTGGGGAGTCAAATTACAAAATTTTTCTTGGACACAGGCATTACCTTTCCTGTTATTAACACTAAGGTAACTCAATTCAGCAAAAGGACCATGTCTATTACAAGAGTAAGAGGAGAAATACAGAAAAACCCCTTAATCTAACTATGGAGTGTCAGCTTGGAGACTGAAAATTCAACATAGTTTCCTTTACACACCAAAGCACCCAATTCCATTTGAGATGCGACTTAACAAACTGGATGCTCAAATAACTTCATCTCTGAAAAAATAATATTTTTATTCATAGAAATGAGCATAGATTTGTTCAGGACTTGAGAGCCTTCATTTCTCCTTCAGAATGTTCATCCTGCTGTGCTAAATCCTTATACTTTACTTACTGTCATCCCCATGGATCATGGATGGTTTTCAGTATTGGACTTTAAATATGCTTTCTTTTGTATCCCACTGGCAGAAAAAGCCCAATTACTATTTACTTTTGGATGGTGAGATCCATTGTTGAAAACTACCTTCCAATAGTGCTGGACTGTATTTCATCAGGGTTTCAAAAATTCTCCCACCATCTTTTGTAAGATTTTAGCCAACAACTTGAGAGTTCAGCAATTGGAAGAAGGGATCTTGCCTCAATATGTCAATGATTTGCTGATTTCAAGCCCCAATTATAAAAAAAATCAGTCTAACACCACTTTGATACTACATCACCTGGCACACTGTAGATATAAAGTGCCACCCCATAACGCTCAGATTTGTAAGCAGAGAGTCAATTCCCTCAGGTTTCAATTAAAACAGGAAAACATAGCCAGGTACAGTGGCACAGGTCTGGAATCTGGGACACAAAGAGGCTGAGGCAGAAGGATCGAAAGTTCAAGGACAACCGAAGCAACTTAGGGAGGTCCTAAGCAACTTAGTGAGATCCTGTTTCAAAATTAAAAAAAAAGAAAGAAAGAAAGTAAGAAATTTAAAGGGCTGGGGATGGGGCTCAATGGTAAAAGTGTCCCTGGGTTCAATCTCTAGTGCCAAAAACAAAACAAAAGGGAAAACAGTCCAACTGGAAAGAAGTCATTGCCAATATTCAAGCCCCTGTAACTGGGGACAACTGTGAGTGTTTCTAAGTTTGACAAGGTTCTGCTGAATTAGGGTTCCCAAGTTTGGACTCATAGTCAAACCTCTTTATGAAGTCCTAAAAGGGTTATATTCAGGACCCTTATTTTGAACAGCTGAACATGTCGATGAGCATTTAACACTTTTAAAGAAAAATTGTCAGCACCATCCTTGGAGTTACCTAACCCTCAAAAGCCTTTCAAGTTTTCGTCCATGCAAAGCAGAACATAAGTCTCCTTCAGATTCTCAGAGAAACCCCTCAGCCTATAGCTAATTTCTCTAAATAATTGGAACAGACAGCCAAAGGTTGGCCATCCTGCCTTCAAGCATTTGCATCCACTTGTGATATCTTAAAAAGGCAGAAGAGGTCACCTCAGCATAGTCATTTAGTGTTTGTGCCTCACCGAGCATAAACTTCATTAAGAAAAAAAGATCATTGGCTAATGGCAGGTCCAATGGACAAATATCAGGCTATTTTGCTGGACAATCCAAATATTGCCTTGCAAACCAACACAGCCCTAAATCCAGCCTCATAATGAAAACTGACTCTGATCTGGAAAGTTACTGCATAGAAATTCTCTGTGCAGTCTAATTGCCACAGACTGAACTTGCCAGATCAACTGTTGGAGTTGGTGACTGGTAGCTATACATGGATGGAGCAGCTGCTGCTGAGCTGTGTGTGCTGTAGTGACACTAGACATGGTTATAGACGCCCCTACCCTCCAGCCAGCACCTCTGCACAAAGGGCTGAACTGATCACACTCACTGGGGCTTTACAGCTGTCACAAGAGAAACAAATATCTACACTGATTTCAAATACCCTTTGATGATAGTGCATGCACATGGAAATATTTGGAAAGAAAGATTATTAACTTCAGGAAACAAGGACATCAAACATCCTAGGGAAACACTGGCCCTATTTGAGGCAGTTGCTTTGCCTGTTCTGTTATACTCTGCCCAGGGCACCAAGACTAACACCCAGAGAAAGGAAACCAGAAAGCTGAGTAAGCCTCTAGACAAGCTGCTAGAGAAGCAGCTTACTGGGGATTTGATACCTCATTTAACTTGTCTAAATTCAAGCATCATTACACAGGATGTGGAATGAGCCCAAGGATAGGGTTTCAGCCAGGCATGGTGGTGCACACCTGTAATCCCAGAGGGTCAGGAGGCTGAGGCAGGAAGATCGAAAGTTCAAAGCCAGCCTCAGCAAAGGGGAGGTACTAAGCAGCTCGATGAGACCCTGTCTTTAAATAAAATAAAAAATAGGGCTGGGGATGTGGCTTAGTCGTTGAGTCCCCCTGAGTTCAATCCCAGGTACCCCGCCCCCCAAAAAACCTATCATTAAGAATAGAGTTTCAGTGATACAGACTGACAAAACTTTGTGAACATAGGGTGATTTTACTCCCTGAAGCCCTGATGTATCCAATTTTTAAAGCACCTGCGTGTTGGCAGAGATGCACTGGCAGATTTTATACTGCCTTACCTGAAAGACCATGCCTTCAAAAGACTCTTCAAAGGCTTCTACAAGGATTCTATTTGTATGCTTAAAAGAATCCAAAACTGAACAGAACCTACCTGAAATATTGGCAATAAAAAAGGTTTATAATATAATTGTACCTTTAAAGACTGGCAAATAGGTTTTACCTGGATGCCAAAAAACAGGTGATTTAAAATTTGTATCAGTATTTGCAGACACTTTCTTATGCTGGGAAAAAGTTCGCCTACTAGAACTGAGAAAACAACTGACATAATTTAATTCTTGCTTGAGGAAATTATTCCCAGGTTTGGACAGCTGAGCTCTATTCAAAGTGATAATGGGATGTCATTTGTTTACAAGGTCACCCAGAGGGTGAGTAAAGCTTTATAAATAACCGGGGAACTAGCTGCATTTGTCCTGGAAACCACAGTCCACTGGGAAGATGGAGAAAATGAATCATGCTTTTTTTTTAAAAAAAAAAAAAAAAGAAGAAGAAGAAGAAAGAAAGAAAGAAAGAATACTGGCTAAGCTTTGTCAGGAGATTCTTTTAACATGGATTAAGTTTTGCCTATTGCTCTGCTCCAAATTATGGTAGCACTCTGCAGTGGGTATAAGTTAATGCCCAGCCTTCGGAGTATCTAGGACTATAAACGGGTACCACCACACTCAGTTTGTTCATGACTTTAAAAATAAAACTGATACAGGCACAATTGCACATTCCAGTAATCCCAACTACCCAGGAGGCTGAGTCAAGAGGATTGCAAGGTTGAGGCCAGCCTGGGTAACTTATCCAGACCCGGTCTCAAAATAAGAACTAAAAGGGACTGGGGGTGCAGCTGAGTGGTAGAGTGTTTGTCTGGTATATATAAGGCCTGGGTTCAATCCCTAACTCTAAAAATTAAACAGAAAAGAAATGTTCAAAATTCATAGGAGGAAAATTGCTGGGAGCCATTAGCCAAGTAGGTATGACAATTTCCTTGCCGGCATACCCCATGTTGCTTAGTGGAAGGACTCGTGGAAATAGGACATTTTGCAGTTAGGTGACCTTGCTCAAGGACCAGGGCAGATCCGGGATTAGGGTGTTCCCGGTTTAGGATAATTGGGTTTAGGGCGTTCCAGTTTAGGGCGTTCCAGGTTTAAGATTATTCCTGCTGGGAATAGGGCGTATCCTGCTGCCTGTGTTCCCCTTGAGTTCTCACAGGATTCAGACAGTGGATGTGGATTTGGGCAGAGAACGTGGATTTCCCCAGAACGTGATTGTAGACGGCTGGTGTGAGTTCGGGAATAAAGAGTTGCTGTTTGAATCTACAAGCTGTGTGGTGGCTCCTGATTGTGTGCCCAGCCAGACTGCGGCAGAAAATGATAAAAACATCTGAATGACCAAAAGGGAGACCCGCCATATTCTTGATTAGATGATTTAATATCTTGAAGGCATCTTTCCTCTCTAGGATAATCAATAAATTTAGCATGAGCTCAATAAAAATACTATTAGCTTTTTTTTAACCCCTCAAGTATGAAATAAGTTGATTATAATTTGGAAAAAATAAGAATAGTCATATAACTCTTGAAAGAGCAGCTTTGCATATACTGGAACATATCTACGCCTCTATCACTAAAAGAAGACACTGACTTGTTGGTTGGCACATATCACAGCAAAGCAGGAGGTGGGGGAAATCCAGAAACAGACACAGAACCAACTGCAGATGCAAAGCAACTATATAATAAAGATAGCATCTCAAACTAGTGAGATAAAGGAGTTTCTAATATAGGATCCTGGGAAAACTGGCTGGCCTCATGGAAACAGATCAAATTAAATCCATTGTCCATGCCATACATCTACTATATTTTAAATGAACCAATGAATTTAAATGTAAAATTTTTAAAAATGAAACCACACAAATGTTAGAAGAGAACATGGAAAAATTCCTCCACAACTGGGAATGGGGAAAACTTTCCTAATGATGACTCAGAATTCACACACAATGGGGAGGAGATTAATAAATTTGCCTACATAAAAGTGGAAAACAAAACATTTACAAGTGTAAGATTACAAGACCATTTTCCTTATTTGGGAAAATATTTGTGATATATGTCATAGACAAAGGATAATAATGCCTAATACATAAAGACCTCCTAAAATTGGAGAAGAAAAAGATGAATACTTTGTAGAAAAATGAACCCTAGATATGGACAGTTCACTTAAAAAGAAAAGCAAATTCCCTTAAATGAATAAAAAGTTGCTCACTCTCATTCAATTTAAGAAATATAATACTTAACAGCATACACACAAAAAAAATGTCACTGGGAGATCAGGTATATATTATTCTGAAAACTAGTATATAAAAGGGAAAAAACACTTATCTCTTCTTACATAAATGATACTTCCAAGTAACCAAATAACAAATAAGGGGAACCAATAAATTGAGGCTTGATATAAATAGAATATTTATCATTTGCAATTCTTAGTGAACCATTAGGCAAAGATCACCAATGACTCCTGACATCTTTCTAATAAGAAAACTAGACATTCTGTCCATCTATAAGGCTATCTATGACATTACCTACAAGCCACCTTGGAAAAACAACTGAAGTCTGACTAAGTCTCTGGATGAGATTCCTAAATTACAGGAAATACAACGAGCACCAGAAAAATACATCAAATGATCTGACAATGAGACCTGTGCAAAATCCAGGCTGTGGGGATTTAAGCAGTTTCTCCAACAAATAAAAACAGAGATCAGGGAGGAAAGAGATAGAGAACAGACTTCTTCATTAAAAGAGAATTAAGGACCATAATAATCATTAGCTTTACATGTGTTCTCTAGATATACGATTAATATTGCTCCGTTTCCAGTTCATATGCTTTCTTTTGTCTAACTGTGCTTGCTCACACGCTTATGCTTTCTCCCTCTCCCACTCCCGGATCCCTCTTTCAATGAAACCCAGGGCCTTGTCTGTGCTAAGCACATGTTCTACCACTGAACCATACTCCCAGACATACTGTGTGCCGTTTGAGCCAAGCTCTGTTTCTGGGTCTCCTCTGGGCAAAAATAGAGAAATACTTGCATTTTATGAGGGACTATGTCCTGGGAAGACCTTTAAAGTTATATTCAGAATAAGACCCCGCCTTTGACCTTTGACAGTACTGGCTCCAAGATGGCAGAACAATGCCCCTGGCCCTTGTCCTCTTCCTTAGTCTCTGTTAGACAGGTAGAGGCAGTGTCATGTGGTTCAAGCAACTGCACCACTACTCCTGCACTGAGGTAGGTGGGGGCGGGGGGAAGAAAGGTGGCCCTCTCCAACCCGGGAGATCTAGAATGTTCCTGAGGCCTCCTAAATCTCCTCCCTTTGTTTTTCCCTTGTGGAGTTGAGGGTACACAGTTGTTCCCTCTGAAAATCCAACTTCCCTGACCCATCACCTCATCACTGCTCATCCAAATTCATTTTCATTTCAAACAGAAAAAGGATTATGGCTGTTTACTGAAGAAGGTCTTCCATTTAAATTGGCATCTCCACTTCCCTTCTCTCCCTGTGGGTTTTCACCTTCTTTAGATAGGTCTATAATCTATACCAAGGTTCATTTTATTAAAAAAGGAACAATAAGACTCCTGAGAAACCCCAGTATAAACTGTGAGTCTGTGAAGGAAGTACCACAAAATGAGAAAAGAGAGCTGGTTTTGTGGGCATAACAACAACAAAGAAAAAAAAAAAACAACAAAGGTAAAGTCAAAGACATGAGAAGGAGAATCGGAATTTACTTAGCACTTACTGTATGCTAAGTACTATCACATATATGATTCAAATAAATTATTTCAACAGTCAGCGGAATAGATATTATAATGTCATTCTCATTTTACAAGTGCATAAACTGAGGCTCAGAGAGCCTAAGCACTAAGCCTAAGCAGATCCTGAGATGTAGGAGAAACTCAAAGAGGCAACTTGTTCCAATCTTTCAGATTGGAAGTCGCAGCTGGAACTTGACTTGGTCATCTTGTTCTGAAATATTCTCTAACCAGATTCATGTCTTGATTTCCCCCAAAATAGAAGCTATGGAGGCCCCAGGGCCTACTGGCTGCCAATATATTGTATTCCACCAAGTTCTTACCTCATAAGGCAGCTCCAGTCTCCTCCTCTGGAGAGCACCTTTCTCTCTTCTGTAAATCACACCTCCATACACTTTGTCCCCTCAGAGTAGACCCAAGAACTTCTAACTTTTGTAGCTGGGGAAAGAGAGTTTAGCTTATTCTGTAGGTTTGTGACCAGATGGGGACTAGAACTTCTATTCCTGCACTATTTCCTCTGCATACCTTATCTCAGTCTTGGAGGAGGACAACGAAGAATGACAAGAAACTTTGGGGACACTCAGATGTCCTAGATTGAGGATGACACTCTTGCCTTCAGAGGCTAGAGTAAGATAGTGCCCAGGAAACAGAAGCCCAAACTCCACACCCTAACTTGAGAAAGCAGATAAGACATGGCGCAGCCAATGTTAAACTAGCTCCTCACATTTTTTTAAACTTTCAGAAACATTCTAGAGCTGTTCTGTGGTTCTTCAAGGCTGTTTTCTTCCTGTTCAAGGTGACAATTGACTTTTAATAGATAAATTTACATTTCATGTCAATGCACAGATGAGTGTGGGGTCTGATGGGTTTTGGCTAACACATGCATCCATGTAACTAAAGCCCAGTCAGCATGTAGACTTGCCCATCATTTCAGAAATTTTCTTCATGTCTCCTTCGTTACCTCCTCACCCTCCCTTGACTACAGTGTGAAAAGTCCTGTCACCTTCTGAAACACCTAAGCCTTCTGGGACTCTCCCCACCAGTGACTCTGAGCAAACCATTTATCCATCATACCTTCGGGTCCCCAAGAAATGGCAGTCACTGGCGCCACCCTGGAGCCAGTTGCCTAAAGATGTGAGTGAGTAACTGTGCCATCCATTTTTTTGGTTGTCACCATGAAGTCACCCAGGGACAAGAGGCAAGTGGACTGTTTCACTTCTAAACTTTCCACAAAGCTCTTTTTCCTTCTTTTTCTTGTTCCCTGAAACCCCAAGCTCAGTTTCTCCATGGCTAAAATTGGTGACAACCCTGATAGAGAAGGTGAAGATGCGTGTAATTACCTTAGCAACAGAACATGCTGTGCGTGTGAGTCACATAACCTCATCCCCATAGCAACACAGAATCACCGTCCTTTGGAGCCCAGTGACAACAGCACCCACTTAGTCCAACCTCTTGGATTAAAACAGAAACAGAAACAAAAAGAGTCACTTACAGCTCAGAGAGCTTTCATTACCTTATACATATTCTTTGTTTGGAAACACAATGGAAGGTTGATATAAATAGGTTAAGCAGGGGAGTGTCTATTTTGGCTGCTGTTTTGTAGGCTGAATTAAGTCCAGGCTTTGTTATTATTAGGGACAAAGGAGAAATTTTTGATGGATGGTAGAAGAACAAGCCTGCAGGGTATGAATACAGAGATGTGAACACTGGAGACCACAGAGCCCCAGCAAGAAATCTCATTCATTTATCTCTTAATGTGTCTTCAGAAGTGAGATTGCATCATCCTCTGCTTTTTGAGGCTGATATGGAAGGAATGCCCTCCCTTTATCAGCTGGAGTTGCAGATTATAATACGAAAATATTGTCTCTGTAGTCAAAGCACCAACTCCTAGCAGCTCTCCAGGCAGAGGGTAACAATATGAAATGTACACATGAGATCTGGGAGATCCCTGATATCTGCCCTGATTTTTTGATGCTTCTTGTTCTCATTCAAAACCAAGGACTCTGGAACCCCATGATATCTCCGTAACCTCCCAAAAAATATGCCACAAGCTGAGCTTCACAAAAGCAGGGAGCATTTAAAGTTGACATTTAAAGGATAAATGATCCTCTCCAGGCACGCAGACAGTTTCTGGCATACCCTAATTGAACATAACTAATCCAAAAAACTGAAATGCTCTAAAATCGGAAAGGTTCCATGAGTGGAAAATTCCACACCTGTTAACTATTTAGTGAAGTACTTATATGTGGATAAGTGTTAAGAAAATGATTGCTTATCAGTAGAACATAAATTTGAAATCAGGGATGATGGTGATGCCAGGCATGCCATGGATTGTCCACTGAGGGGCTGAGACAGCAACACCTCTGCTTCCTGAGGGTTCCAATGTACACATTGCTCCATACCTAAAATTATTAAAGACATTATGTAAGCTAAGCATGCTGGGGCACCCCTGAAATCCCAGCAACTCAGGAGGTTGAGGCAGGAGGATCGCAAATTTGAGACCAGCCTCAGCAACTTAGGTTCTCACTAAGTTGCTTAGAGTCTCCAGCCTCAGCAACTTAGTGAGACCCTAAGCAACTTAGTGAGAACCTATCTCAAAAATAAAATATAAAAAGAGATGTGGCTCAGTGGTTAAATGCCTCAGGGTTCAATGCCTGGTGGCAAAAAAAAAAAGACATTATGTAAAATTACCTTTAGTCTATGGTATATGTTGTACATGAAACAGAAATTTGTGTATATATGTATATGTAAATATCCCCCATTCAAAACCTGAAATACGGGGCTGGGGATGTGGCTCAAGCGGTAGCGTGCTCGCCTGGCTTGCGTGCGGCCCAGGTTCGATTCCCAGCACCACATACAAATAAAGATGATGTGTCCGCCAATAACTAAAAGATAAATATTAAAAAAAAAAAAAAAAAAAAAAAAAAAAAAAAAACCTGAAATACTTCTGGTGCCAAGCATTTCACTCATATAAGGAATACTCATGTATTAGCACTGAAAAAACTTTGTTCTAGTGAAGGTGGGAATGTGGAATGAGGAGTTGGTTTAAATATTCCCACTTCCATGAAGAACAAAGACAATAACAATAATGGGGGAGAACCCAATTATACCTCACCAATCCCCACAAACCTCCAAATTCACATACAGGAGACTAACTACCTAAAAAGAGGCTGTGTGGGGCTGGGGTGTGGCTTAGTGGTAGAGCGCACCCCCACCCCCCACCCCCCACCCCCCGTTTTGATCCACAGCACTAAAAACAAACAGCCCGCCCCTCCCTGCCCCGCAAAATAAACAGGCAGATTGAACTTCTGGCTTCCAGTCCAGCAGGTAAGTGCCTGGGAAGTCACTGAACAAGTAAAAGGCTGAACCAACTGAAAAATCAATAACTCTTCTTAGATGCTCAGAGTGGTGAGGTCACAGGGCAAACCGCTGGCCGGAAAAGTGAACAGAAGCCCAGATGGATGCAAATCACAACTTACCGGAGTAGAGGCCCAGTACTGGGGAGGAACAATGAATGGCTGGAGGCTTAGGGTGGACAAATCTGAGAGTGGGAGAAATTCCAGGGAAACCTCATCATCCAGTGCCCCACCAGGTTCTCACCATAAATACATTAGAGGAATAATGTCCTCCTGCTTCTGGCCAGGTGTAGAGGAGGTAACAACCCAGGTGACAGAAGCTCTGCCCTCAGGAGAAACAAGTGAGCCAGAACCTTATCTGCTAGGGTTTAATCAGAGCCTACTCAATCAGGGCAAAGGGAGATATTCAACTCCAGCCTCACACCCAAGCCATCCCGTCCCACCCAAGGGGCAGAAAGGTAAGACACACTGGTGAATTTAAGAGTGGAGGCCACAGCCTCACTACCAGAGTGGATCCAAGGAGGCCCAAAGCTTTCATGAGTTTTACCTTCAAGTCCTCACAGCAAATAAGAGAGAAGAATCCCTTGGAACTTCCAGCAGGAGGTGGGGAGAAGTGCCAAAGCCTTCTGTTTTTCTTAACAAGTTCTGACCGCAGGAGGAACTGGTTAGCCAGAACCCAACCTGCTGGGGGAGAAGAAATAGCCAACTCCATCCCACTTTAGCCATGCAATCCCACCTGGGGAGATGTGGGCTGAGAAGTGCATGTGATCTTTGCATTCCAGAGAAGCAGGCTGATGAGAAGACTGAGACCTAATTGTAGGAATCGAGAATGCTTTCCCTCCCCACACACCTTGCCACCACCTTACAGCTGTCCCTTGGGTAACAGAGGAGATTAGTTCCAGGACCCACCATGGATATCAAAATCCAGGGATGCTGAAGTCCTTAATCTCTGCCCATCTTCCAATATATGTTATTTTATTTTGGTACCAGGGATTGACCTCAGGGGTGCTTGACCACTGAGCTACATCCCCAGCCCTTTTTATATTTTATTCAAAAACAAGGTCTTGCTAAGTTGCTTAGGGCCTTACTAAATTGCTGAGGCTGGCTTTGAACTCGAAATCCTTCTGACTCAGCTCCCCAAGCCACTGGGATTATAGGCATGCACCACCACGCCCAAATATTTTAAATCATCTCTAGATTACTTATAATACTAATAAATGCAAATGCTATATAAATAGTCATTATACTGTATTATTGTTTGGGGAATAATAACAATGAAAAATCACTATATGTGTTCAGTATGAGAACATTTTTTTCTGGACTATTTTTCCTCCAAAGTTGACCAAGTCCATGGGTGCAGGACCCATGAGAATGGAGGGCAGTCCATTCATAGCAGTTCCTTTAGTGGAGCATATTATTATAAGAAAAAATTGTAAGGCATATTTAAAGGCAAAAAATACAGTTTGAAGAGACACAGCAAGCATCAGGAACAGGTATGGCATGAATGTCGATGTTATCAGAGCAGAAATTTAAAACAACTCTGATTAATATGCTAAGAGTGGATAATGCAGACCGAATGGAAGAAGAGAAGGGCAATGTAGGCAGAGAGATGGAAATCCCAAGAGAGGACCAAAAGGAAATGCTAGCAATCAAAACACAAACAGAAATGAAGAATACCTTTGATGGGTTTATGAGTAGACTGGATACCACTTAAGGAAAGATCTCTGAGCTTGAGAATATCGCAGTATTTATAACATAAAAATCAAAATGGTGGCAGAACAATCAAAAGGGAGAGCAAAAATCCTTTTCAGAGCCTTAGAGATTTTTCTGACAAAGGTAGATAGCCACCCAGACGTCAGGTCAGGAGTTGAATCCACCAGCAGGAACAATTTTCTAAAATCTAACAAAATCTTTGCTTCTTGACCTGCACATTCCAATACACTCACAAAATTTATGACCACCCTGATTTGTGCCAAGCTTGCCTTAATCCTGCTTGTCTCCTTTAAAAATGCCATTTCTCCCTGTAATAAAAACCCAAGTTCACCTTTCCTCAGGCTCCATCTAGCTGAGCTGATGTTCCTGATCTGCAAATTATTCCCACCCACATAAAACTGTCTTTGCTTTATTTTAATCTCATTTATGCTTTCTTAGTTTATAATAGAAATTTCCCAAACTGAAAACCAATGAGAAAAAAAAAAAAAGACTGAGCAAAGAAAAAAAAAAAAACAGAATAGAACATTCAAGAACTAATGGGAATGCCAAAAAAAGAAGAGAGAAAGGAACAGAGACAATATTTCAAGCAATTATCTTAAGAATTTCCCTGAAGTAACATTGAACCCCAAATTACAGATTAAGAAACTCAGAGACTGGGCTGGGGTTTGAACTTGCCTAGCATGTGTGAGGTACTGGGTTCGATTCTCAGCACCGCATACAAATACGTAAAATAAAGGTCCATCAACAACTTAAAAAAATATTTAAGAAAAAAGAAAGTGTAAGGGTAAAAGAAATTGAAGTTAAAGCGTAAAAGTTAAAGGGTAAAAGACCGGGTGTTGTAAAGTTTCTAAGCTGCAAGGTCTGAGTTAAAATGTAAAGGATTAGGTATTGTTAGGTATTTATGCTACCTGCAAAACCTGAAATTTCTGTAGCTGTTGAGACAATGCTTGGAACTGCCCAGTAAATATTTCCCCTGACTATTGGTTGTTTAATAAGGGCTCTGTGTGGTCGCACGTAGGCATTGCAGGGCCTGGACCAATCAGTTTAAATGTAACCCCCTCCTTAGGAATGACCTATCACTCCAGCCTGACCTGTTCCCGCCAATGAATGAACCAATCATGTTTAGGAGTTGTTATTCAATTTTCCCGAGCCTCATGATGATTTGTTCTGATGTATACAAGGCCCTCTGCCCTCCCCAAAAAGTGTACTTAAGCAGTGCTCAGCCCCTGCTCTGGGCTCTGGGCTGCTTTCCCTTCTTGAGTGGGCACGGAGCCCCAGCATGCTGGTTCAATAAATCCCCCCTTCTGCCAATTGCATGAGTGGTCACTTGGTGGTCTCTTTCTCCGACGTTTCGCGGGACCCTTACAAAAGAAACTCAGAGAC